GCCGTTCCTGCGTGAGAAGCTTTTGTGCCTAAGTATCATCATGGGCGGAGACCAGGACAGAAAGTTTTGGTTGTTAATTGTCCTATTGAATACTATGTAAATATTCGTGCAACTTTATACATTTGAAAAGCCGGTCGATTTACAGCCTGTCAGACGGTTACAATTTGTGACACACGCCACAGGATGACAAAGTTATTTTGACCTCCAAAGCCAATCAGATCGATAAAAATTCATTAAAGTAGAATAATGTCTGATTACTAGAACGCGGACCGTCCTTTCGACTCTGCGTTTATCCAATTTAATTTAGAGCCGACAGTCATCATTGCGATGTCCGATGTCTTTATTCAGCGTCTCGCCTTGGCAGGGCTATCTGCGTTCCTTGTGAGAGGTTGCAAATGCGCTGACTTCACAGTTTAGCCGACCACAGTATGCGCATATGTGCATTGACGCAGTCAGAGCCGTCTTTACCTCGTGCTGTATTGCGCACCAGTTCGGCCCAAGACACTTGAACTATCATCCGCAAATCCATAGAATTAGATGACGCCACAGCCTCCCATTCTCTCAGGTACAGCGCAACACAATCAGTGCACCCCCTGCACTAGTCGGCGGCCACAGCTGCCAGAGAAAGCAACTCGGTTTCTGCACACAAGAAACACCCTCATTTTGACGCCTTCCAGTCGAGTCGTGACCTGTTGATTGCAACACTATAAATAAAAGTAACATTGAGCAACTGCCAATTGGTGACCTCGATGTGGCCGAAACACAGCTGTCCTACTTGTGTGAGAGCAACCGCCATAAAATTGTCAATTTATAGGACCCTGTTACATTTTTGCGTCACCCACCGTCTCCGTAAATAGGGAAACGGGATTGTCGATACACCGGCATGCGTTGAGATGGACGTTATCGACAAAAATCGACTACACAAGCTCAGGTTCAAAATCTGAAGGAAACTGGACCGAACAACCGGCAGAATGTGTCATCATCTGAACACCACTGCTGATTGAAACAAGGTAGCAAGTTCCAGGATGTGGTCGGGAGGAAGTAGACGCGATCACTGGAATATGAGCCCTTTTATTTGCCTGAATTTTCAGATCCACACATGAATCTATCATTAGATACAGAATCAGATGAGAATCATGCTTTTCGTAAGTGTTACAGTATCTATAGAATGCAGATTCTATGCCAGTGCAAAACAATCAAAACTGGCGGCTGCTGCCCTTCGGAGATAGTGCGATGGCGCAGATAGCGCGATAATTGCCTGAGGACCCCGAACTGAGTCGGTAATTGCTGCAATTTTGGTTCTTGGGCCACTTTGTTCGCCGACACCGATGCCGAAATCAGTGCTTACCTCACGGCCCTCTCCTCCACTCCTCCTGGGCAGTCTCAGCAGAGAATATGAAGGCCGAAAACCATTGGTTTTAATAACTGGCTGAGGACCAGAAAACCGTGACTTAAACAACCCGCGGCTCAGACATTTGTCATTTTTAGGGAGAATTTCGGCCTCATCGAACTTGAATTGGTGACCGGGTCCCGTCGAATGATCCGCGACTCTGGAGCTGGCGTCGTTCCTCTTGACTGCTGTTGTGTGGAGTGCCATCCATGTCCGGAGTTTTTCAGGTATAGTTGCTTTGTCGACAGCTGCACCAAGACCGGTAAATGGCTCCAAGAGTTCCGTGCTGTGGCAGTGGCTCTTTTAACCTCATTATTGGTGCCTAATAGCGGCCTCTGATCTATGGGTTGCCCCAATTCCAAGGGGCGTGATAAGATTGCCGACGACTTCCGAGATGTTCTTGACATACGGGTACGCTCGCCAAAATTTTTGGATGATTAGACTGTCTCTCGTCTCGTTTGTCCATGCTCTCGTAGTGGAAGTTGTGAGGGTGCCCATTTTGCTCTGAGAACCCCTCCAAGATATTGATATCCAACAGCCTTATCTTCCGTTTCGCTGCAGTCCACCTCAACACTCTAGTATGGCGTCCTCACGCAAATGCGTTTGGGGTTGTTACTGCGTCGTATTTTATGTCGCTCTGAACACTGGTTTCTAGGCCACCACAATCCTTGTGGCAGGCGAGGACATCTAGGAAGGCTAATCTGTTTTTTTCTCCCCACCCTCCGCCCGCATCTTACATTGTTTGTCCCGGAAAGTGACGTTGATATCTTTTTTGAGTGCTAAAACCCGATCGTGCTTGATGACGATGGAGGTATCATTCCCATACCGAGCCCGGAATTTCGGTCCGCCATGTTAAAAGACATGCGGCTTCCACCTTCGCAGGACCGCTTGAAAATCGTGAACCCACCAATGCGCGTTTTACCTGCTCGCAGTCCGCTCAGACGAACTTTAAATACGTTTTGAGACATACTTTCGGGAGTTTAAGGGTTTGGGCGTGTCCAAGACGATTCTCCATTCCACTGTATTTGCCTTCCAAGGATAGTTCGATGATCTTGATCTGGGGAACAGATGTAAAGAGAAGCGGGAAATAAAACGATGCTTTGACCCCGTTTAGCAGGAGACTTAAGTATCTCCAAGAATTATGTCTGCGAACAGAGCGTGGTGTCTGGAGCAGTGTTCAGGAATTTAAGACGTCGAAACAGCAACTATGCGGTTCGGAACTAGGAGTATTTTTGGCGATACGATGGGCCGGAGGGGAGCGGCCTCTTTGTACAGCTTTGGAAGGTCAATACCGTTACTTTGGCTCTCACAACCCGTCGGCCGACCTGCGATACTGCACCTGAGCTCTCGGTTCCAACAGTCTGGCATTAATTCCACGTGCCGGTGTTTTTATGGGGTTGGACATCAAAGCAGCGATCCTCTAGTTATTTTTGACTTTTTGGAAGTTGATTAGAACATTGCGGTCAGACATTGTGGTGAAAAAGTGCAGTTAAGCAATTACCAAAACTCATGTCCCAACGATCAAATCGACTTTTTCCTTATTTTTTTTCTAATACTTTCCTCTGTCCAGTACCACAGAAACTGTGATTCGCGAGTAATTTGCATGCTCATAACAAGCCAAAGCATTAGCATCTATGAAATTCCACACTTTCGTCGTCGCATTCTACGCTAACGCTTTTTGTTCGGACAAAAGTCATCCTACGTTAGTGATGCATTCATATGGCTCAGCACTCACCGAGTTGCCCTGCAATCGAAACGCCCGCGTCGAATGGCGGCACAGTTTGATGTTGTCACTCCAACCTACCTTCCGGCTTCCGCCTCAGTTGCACCCCTGCGCGAGTCGAACATGTCCTCTCACAACTGACGCGCGCTCCCCAACCTGCAGAGTGCAGGCTCAAATCATCCAGCTTACTGCTTGCCTCACGAGGGATGCCCTCAGTTCGATCTGTACCCGGCGGGGAACTGTGGTCGACAATGTCCCGTTGCGTAAAAATTATCCCCCTTCCACGCCGGCGGTTTTAAATACGCTGACCTAATATTCTGACCGACCTCAAGGTAGGTATTCGAACGGTTGCGACCAATCATGTCCCGTTTTAACAGCCGACTCCTAGGCTAATGAAATACGACAGTTCGATCGTCGTTGCCGACGTTGTTTACCGCATGTTCCACAGCAAGGTGAAGCAGGGGCGACGACTTGCGCAACATCTACCACATTCTTTTCTCCTCCCCCACCTAGACACGCTGTCAAGACAGAGTCAAGAATACCGGAGGCGGAGAAGGGTGCACGTGGATGGCACGTTCGAGCCCGCACTTTGGCTCTCCACTGCTTAACCCCTGGTCCACACGGCAAATGACCTGGATTTTAACCAACAACAACAAGAACAAAAGGGGCTGGCGCGGCCGAAACCGCACCTAGGCGTGCTGCCACACCCAGTTCGGACCCCACGAAGTGGGAGTGCAAAAGGTCACATTTAGAAGGAACCATTGCAGCCTGGCTCTTAAACCACCAGCCGACCGCTCCACACAAGCACACAACACTGCTCCGACTGCGAGGTCGAAGTTATCCCGTCAGATGGCAATCTTCCAAGCACACCATGGTAGCCTCAAGCGCGTCAGATTGTTTATAATGAGGAAAATGCGCTGAGTCGTCCACCTCACTCTCCCCATTCCCAAGCCTCAGTCACTGTCCGAGCCCGTCAGTTGACTTGGGCGGGTAATGGGCGTGGTGGCTGACCTGATCGAGTGACCTTTTCCACGCGCGCCACACGCACGACCTTATCCCCCAAACACAAGCGTCAGGATTTCACACAAAGTGGGTTGAGCGGTGTACATCCCGCATGCGTGTGAGGACCGTGGAAGGTACCGGTTCAGCCCGTCTCCCAGCTCACCAGTCCGCCACTCCACACAATACACACACAACGGGACGGACTGCGTGGACTGAGTTAGAGCGTCAGTCGGCAACCTTCAAAGCCACACCGTTTGACGCGCCGCGATAGCCTCAGACTCATATGCAGTAGGGGTCGCATGGAAACGGAACCGAGACGCACACTTCCCACTTGCTTGGGAGGTGGTGACTGGATGCTTGTGGTTGATGATGTTGTGTGTTGCAGGTGGGGGGAAGATGTGGTAGTGTGGTGTAGCCGGCGGTTGTCTATGGCAGGTTTTCGTGAATGTGCATGTGGCCTAATAAGTCCAAGGGTTGGGTGAATGCTCGAGGAGCAGTGAGGGCAGTTGAGGCGAATGCGTCTGGCGTATGTTTGTGCTCCAGGCAATGGTTTGCCAGTCTCTGTGTGATGTATTCGCAAATAACCGACCAGGTCGATGTGTGAGGTGAAGGTGCGACAACAGTGTCAACAGGATAGATCAGCGGTGTCAGGGTCGGTTTCAGTGATGGTGGCGGCAGCGGTGCTGCTGTTGGTGGACGTGGTGGGCAGCGGTGTGTGGACTGAGCTACGTACGGTGGATGTGCTGGGTGTTAGAGGCTGCGGCCAACTCGAATCCTTCTACCACTAAACAAAGTTGTGGCCCATAATACAGTCCGTCAGTCGTCTGGGATGTCTGAGAAGTCCTATCGCAATGGAGACGGGTCTAAAAAAGGTGCCCTAAACAAATGCTGGAGAACCACGACGTCTGCAGACTGATCGTCTTCGCAGACGTAAAACACACGGCCGAAACAATCGAACAAGGAAAAACAGGCTCTCTCTTCTCCCTCCTCCCCGCCGCCCCACCCCCACAGGCTTGTAGGGTGATTCCGCTCAATCTCGCGGCCTGTAATGTCCCTTCCCTTTTAGACAAAACGATAAGCAACCGACCGGAGTGGAGGACGGCGCTAGTGGCTCGGGAACTGGCGGGCTACAAGGTACACATCGCTGCACTAAGCCAGACCCGGTTCTCCGAACAAGGCCAACTGAAGGAGGTGGATGCCGGCTACACATTCTTCTGGAGCGGTCGTCCCGAAGCAGAGCGACGGGACGCGGGCGTCGCATTTGCCATTCGGAACGACATCGTGGGACGACTACCCTACCTGCCGCAAGCCATCAACGATCGCCTGATGAGCCTCTGCCTGCCTCTCGGGGATGGAAAAACGCCATCATCGTCAGCGCCTACGCCTCCCTTTCGATGACCGGCCTTAACGGGGCAAGGAACAAATCCTACGAGGACCTGCACGCCCTCCTGGCGACTGTGCTAAAGACGGATTAGTCGGTTGTCCTTAGCGACTTCAACGCCCGCGTCGGCACAGACCATGCTGCGTCGAGAGAAGTGCTGGGTCCCCATGGTCTCGACGACTCCAATAACAGTGGCCTAGTCCTCCTACGAACCTGCGCAGAACACCGCCTCATCCTGACAAACACCTACTTCTGCCTCCTAATGCGAGAGATGGCCACCTGGATGCACCCTCGGTCGCGACACTGGTACCTGCTGGACCACGTCCTCGTCCGCAGGCGAGACCAGCTGGACGTGCTTGTGACAAAGACGATCCCGGATGCCGACGGGTGGACCCAAGGTAAGCGACTCCCAGATAAGAGGAATAGTGCTTTGTTGTCTTTGGCTGCTCACTTTCACCACTTCAAGAGTGAACAGTCCAAAGGCTAGCCAAGCATTCAATTGCCGCCGCCGCCACTGATGAGAACGCCTCCGTGGAGGACCGATGATGCCAACTGAGGGACATAGTCCAATCGACGGCCCTGGCTGTCCTAGGTCGCGCACGTCGCCAACACCAGGACTGGTTCGATGACAACGACGCCGCCATCAGCAACTTGCTCGCCGAGAAGAACAGCTTGCCCAAAGCCTGTGTCATTCGCCCCACCGAAAACTATGGGGAAGTCTTCTACAGTAGTCGCTGTCTTTTTCAACAGCGGTTGCGTGAGGTGCAGGAGGTCTGGATGGCTCGCAAGGCTAAGTAGATTCAGGGGTACGCGGTTTGCAACGAATAGAAGAACTTCTTTGACGCGATCGAGACTGTCTCCCGTCCCACAGCCACAGGGACTGTTCCTATTCTTAGCGCCGACATCAATACCCTACTCACCGAGAGGACGTAAATTCTACAGCGATGGGCTGGGCACATCAGAAGCGTCCTCAACCGTCCCTTCGCCATCTCCGACGCCGCCATCATCCGTCTGCCTCAAGTGGGGGACTACACCTATCTCGACCTACCGCCCTTTCTCCACAAAACCATCAGGGCCGTACAGCAGTTCCCCAGCGGGAAGGCGCCCCGATCGTACGTGATCCCTGCTGAAATCTACAAACGCAGTGGCCCCCAACTCATGGGTAATCTAACGGCGCTCTTCTAGTAGATGTGGCGTCAAGGACGCCACAAACGTCCATATTTACCAGCGAAAAGGTAATCGCCTGTTCTGCAAAAACCACCGAGGCATCTCCCTGCTGAACATCGTTCGCATTCTTCTCAAACGTCTGAACATCCATCTGGAACAGGGTCTCCTGCCGGAAAGACAGGGCGACATACGCCGTCGTTGCAGAACCACCGACATGCTCTCGCCGCCCGACAACTGCAGGAGGAGTGTCAGGAGATGCGGACCCACCTCTATTCTACCTTTGTGGATCTGGCAAAAGCCTTCGACACGGCGACTCACGAAGGACTGTGCAAAATCATGCAGAAATTCGGCTGTCCTGAACGATTCACTCAGATGGTGCGTCAGCTCCACGGTGGCATGATATCTCGAGTCACGGACAATAGAGTTGTCTCGGAGGCATTCTCAGTGACCAACGGGGTGAAGAAAGGCTGCAGCCTCGCGTCTACCCTCTTCAGTCTTCTGTTCTCTGCCATGCTAATAGACGCCTACCGTAACGAACGCCCAGGGATCCGCGTCGACCATAGAACGGAAGGCCACTTCCTCAACCGCAGGCGGATGCACTTCAGGTCGCGTGTATCCACAACTACCCTCCATGAACTTCTCTTCGCTGGTGACTGCTCCCTCCATGCAACTACTGCAGGAGACATGAAAAGAAGCATGAATCTCTTCTCCGCCGCCTGCGAGAACTTCGACCCTATCATCAACACGAAGAAGACTGTGGTCATGTATAAACCGCCATCCGACGCTACCTACGTTGCACCCCAAGTCCACGTGAACGGCGCCCAACTGCAAGTGATGAACAACTTCACGTATCTGGGCAACACCCTCTCCCGCAGCACCAAAATCGACGATGGGGTGGCGTGCCGAATTTCTAAGGCCAGTCAAGCCTTCGCTCATCTTCAAAACACAGTTTGAAATCGTCAAGATCATCAACTCAGCACGAAACTGAGGACGTACAAAGCAAGCACCCTACCGATGTTGCTGTATGGAGCAAAGACTTGGACGGTATACAAGACGGAGGCACGATAGTTCTACCGTCGATTTCGACGATGTCCACCGTGTGTTCCACATCAGAGTGGAAGCAGGGACGGTGACTTGTGGCACAATTTGGTTTATGGTGATAATAGACTTGCACGGCATCCACTACACCCTCCTCCTCCCCTACGTGGACCCGGTATCAAGACAGAGTCAAGAAGACCGGAGGCGGGAGAGGGCGCATGCGGATGGCACGGTCGAACTCGCACCTTGACGTTTCACTCCACACCCCCTGGTCCACACAGTAAATAACCAGGCTTGTGATTGACAACACCAATGGGATGTGGCAGGGTCCCAGCGTACGCGCGTACGCCGGCAACCGGGTCCAACACCGCACTCCGAAATGTTGGCATTTGTTATTGTGCACAAATCCGATAACGCCTGTCAGGATCCGATATGGCCCCCGTGTTGGTCCAGCGCAGTTACCACGTGGCCTGTTTGCGAGACAGTAAAAGCAGGCACGAAGACTCAACCGCTTCCACCTTAGTTGTCTCCGACGGATACTTAAACTGAAGTGGCAGGACCGGATTCCAGACACGGACGTACTGGAGCGGACGGAAATCCTCAGCATCTATGCTATGCTGAGACAGCCACAACTACGCTGGAGCGGCTACCTCGTACAGATGAACGACGAAGGCCTACCCAAACGATTCTTCTATGGGCATGTCGCTACGGCTCGACGCCGGCAAGGGGTTCAAGTCCGGCACTATGAGGATACCCTGTAAACACCCCTGAAGCTCCTGCAGATCAAGCAGGCAAACTGGGAAAACCTCCCCCGGGACCGACCTACGTAGAGGAGAACAGTGCAGACAGGCACAGCAATATTCGAAGCCAACCGCATCAACGCCGCCGAAGCCAAATGATAAACACGCAAATCTCAACTGCATCCACCTGCGCAATTGCAGCATCCGGACGACATCACCCGAGGTCACCCCGCCCACCTCTGCCTCGCCACCCACGCCGACAATCAATACTGAGCGCAAATCTGAGCTTGGCAAATGATTTTCAATCATTCGATGGTAGTTGTGAGTTCGAACGCGACAGTATCGTACGAGCACCCTGATCATTCTCTTCTTAAAGTGTGACATCGTCGGTTGGGATAGGTCAGTGTTCAGAGGAGGTCCATATCTGAGGCCTCTCGGTCGGATGTTCTCATCAGGGCACTGGTGCAGGAATTCCACCCGAGCGTAGATGGATCACATTCATTTTTCAAAGGTCTCAGAAAACCTCATTTTGGGCGGTCGGGCAGAAAAAAACCAAAGTTCCTGCCCGTGATCCCCCATGAGAAGAACGCTCCAGAGACGACGACAAAAATCCGGAACGCCATCGGGATCGGTGTTGCTCATAAATCGAAATCAACAATCAGACAGTAAAGTATTAGGCAAAAAAGACCCGCTACCAGTAAGAGAACAATCGGCAGTGGCCTGCAGCACATCATGCCAAAATTGTGATGAGAGATGTTGGTGAAACGAGCAAACGCCTTGGCACAAGATTGCACGAATACCAACTTGCAATCAACCGCAATTATAAGCTGTCTCTGGTCTAAAGTCACATAAAACAGCTGAACCACAGTTCCGCCTTTGAGAAAACAATGGTTGTCGGCCGCTCAAATGAGAAGATGGTCAGGCTGATGCCTGGATGTTGGTTCTCAACTGACACCCTCAACCGCGTGGTAGACCTGGGATACCATATTCAAATTCCCGTTGTGTGTAACGGGCTTTTGTTGTCAAGATGGATGCTATCTATTTTCTAGTTGTGTTAGGAGCAGCTGCGCTTTTTTGCATCCTTTTGTGGGCGCGAAACAGAAGCTGTTAAATCGTGTTTACTTTTACTTTTGTTTGTTAAAGCGGTCAACTTGACATAGACTTTAATTACAATGATGAGCAAATATTTTCCCGTACAGACTGGAGTTATATGAGTGTCCATAGTTCGCTCATAGCAGATGTAAATGAATTCTATCAATGGTAGATATTTTCGTCTATATCCATAAAATGCAAAATTATCCTTAAATTGTTATCGCACTAATGTTCATTCTCGATGGAAAGTGACTTTTCCCAATTTAGCCGCCTGCCGAGGGATGATTGTATTCCCAGGAATAACAGTGTCAAAACGCCACGATCTTTTGTAAGGTAATGATGTTTTTGTCTTAAATTGGAAACTTAAGTTGCTTCCAACAATAGGTGCTATGTTGCCGATTGGTTGAATTAATCAGTTTACCAGCCGGTGTCTTTTTTATGAGAGTTAGTGATCGGGAGAGTTGAGGAGTGTACTGTTTTTTTATAAAAGTAAAAGCAAACAAATATGGTAATTTGATTCATAGCCAGAGAACAGCCGATCGTCGATTAAGCCACTTGAAACGGATGCGTCATGCTTGTCTTCTTTGTAGGTGAGTCAGCAATCTTGGCGTCAGGTGCCAAATTCACACCTGCTTACCTGTCCCTTCCAAGTGTCAAACCACGTTACGCATAACAGCCCACCTTCACAGTCCGACGGCCACCGGAGGGGGATAAGCCTAAAGGCTACTTAATTTCGCTATTGCTCAAACCGAACCTTGTTGCTGTTTAGACTGTCTGGATTTGCATGACCTTAGACTGATTTCTCTACTGAAACTCCATACTAGCTATGTAGCTAACTAATAATACCCTACAAAGTGCTCTTTATTCTTTCGTACGCAAATTGTAGGCAGCTAAAGGCGCCATGCCTGCGTTCACAACACTGCTGTTCAGTCATTTTGTTACGTTCTCGCTAGTTCAAACAAATTCGAGGCGAAGACAGAATTACAGCTCAAGTTAGAAATTGATTACAGCCATGCTCCAACTATTCCCTAAAAATAAAAATTTGCGCAGCTTATTATTAGAATCCAGATAGGCTTAAGCACACTCTTATGTGACCTACAGAAGGTGAATGTCTTCGAGCACAGCTTTTTGGCAATATTGTATTTGACGTAAATGAGTTTAGAAGCTCCATTTTAATAATATATCCAGTCCAAACATACTGAATCATTTTGGTCAGTCATGGATGAGTTTCTTTGCATATTGTACCGTCAAAGACACCATAACATAATTTAATTACATCTACTGAAGCTTTTAACGCCTCTGGTGTACTGAGTATATTTAATTTTAATGAAAGACTTAAATTCGGACAGCCAAAACTGCACTTTTTCCCTCATTCCTAAGAAAACGATCTCTTTGAGATAGCGGTCTAAGAAAACGAAGCCTGTCTATACATAAACAGACAGCTCTGACTCCTTTTTGTAAGCCTGAAGGGTACTGTGGGGAGATGCCTATTCAGACTTTGCCGGTTCCAATTATTTTAGTCTTTTTGGATAGAATTATAGACAGTTTGAGTATAGCATTTTGTCAGGGCTCCTGTTCTTAACGCACAATCCCATGGCTTCGTTAATTCAAGTATGTTGAAAAGCAGTAGTTTGGCTCGTGCCGGAATTAACCTTGGCGAATACTCTTCACAGCTACCTATTAACCCAAAACAAATGAATTTAGGCAGGATATTTTTCCGATCGTTTCCAGATACTAACTTTTAGTGCAAAATAAATCAGGTGTGAAAAATGAGAATTTTTGCATCGCACTTACTTGTGGACGTTCCATTTGATATTGCTCTAACGTGTTCCTATTATTTCGTCAAATACTTCGGATTGCAGTGCAGACGCAAGTGGCTGGTTTGATTGAGAGGCAAATGGAAAATAAAAATAAGACGTGTGCGAATTGGCTAGTTATAAGAAGACTGACACAGGTCATTCGGTTGATCTTTCTTAAGCTATTCTCGCTATAAGAACCTGGAAGTAAGAAGGACCTTTAAGCTCAGCCTCCTATTCGACCTATTCTGATTTTGATTATTCGAGATTGGGTCATGATGTTGACCAGATTTTGTTCATTCAATAGCAACGCAGTCCTAAAGGTAATAGATGAGACCACAGTTATTTCAGGTGAGAAAATTATTTTTTACACAACCTCGTATACATTCACTGAGTCAGCGTGCACCTGCCTCTGGCCTCACCATTTGAAACAGATATGAGACGAAACGGACCCACTAAGGGCAGATCAATATAAATCGATCCATTAACTTATGCAGATCAAAGAAACCCTAACTGCCAGACTGCAAATCAGTAGACGAGCTCAGCAATCTGGAAATCCGATATTTTAAGGTTCACACAAATTTATAGTTGCATTTAGAGCAAAGTGAGCTAAGATGTATCTAGCGTACACCACCCAGATCTTTCGATTGCGTTCACCGACCATATAAATACTGCGGTGTTTGAGACGGGGATATATTCACGAGCGGCTGGTTTTTTTTACTTCTAACTCATCTACTTAAACAGTACAGGCAATTATAAGTATTAGTCCTAAAATTACACTCGACAAACGAATCAAATGCCAGGTGGATTGCATCAATTCTGAACGGTCTATTAAGCACACCAAGCAGGAAAAAGTATTGAAAGAACGTCGGACAAACCTAAAGAGAGATTTCAAGTTTAGTGGACCAACAGCAGATAGAGACAGAACACGCAGGACAAAACCTACGTTTTGCCACGCACAAAGACGTGCGGGGGTGTATTTTCAAATCTGAAGTCAACTGACCGACTTCATCTGGATGTTGGATCCGTAGACGCAAAATAATTTGATTGACCTGTTGAATACTGAATGTTGTATCACTGCTTAGTATACGCAGGTCAGACACGTATAAGCTCAGATACCAAGGACGCCAGCACAGACGGTGACACCCCTGCAAACAAAGAATACCGGTTAGCGTAATTTCGATCACTCCCGGCTGAAGGAAGTACTGATTCATAAAATCGAGCCATTGCAGCCAACACCGCACCAAATGAATGAGACAGAGCCTTGTCGGTGGACCGGTCAAAGACA